CCCAACATGGGTCCATACTTTCCAATAAAATGGACCCCCGGGGTCCCATATCCCCATCACTACTATATCCAAATGAAACTCTATTTCTTCTTAAATTAAACTGTAATTATCCTCAACTGAAAGTGTAGTTTATAAGAACTGAAAGTGTATTGTATATGAACTGAAAGTGCATATATGTGTGTCGCGTTTTGTTTTAAAAAATGTTCATTGACACTATAATATTATTTCAAACTGAAAGCGTAGTGTATAAGAACTGACAGTGTAATGTATAATAACTGAAAGTGCTTATATGTGTGTCGCATTTTGTTTTAAAAAATGTTCATTGACACTACAATATTATTTCAACTGAAAGCGTAGTGTATAAGAACTGAAAGTGTATTGTATATGAACTGAAAGTGTATTGTATATTAACTGAAAGTATTTATATGTGTGTCGCGTTTTGTTTTATAAAATGTTCATCATTAATACTTATCATATTGTTGTAGACCATACCTATACAAATGAAGAAAGCCACAAGAAAGCAGAAAACCAAGGCCGTCTTGGACTCACAAGCAGCCAAACTAACGCCACCAGCTCAACCAGCACCTGTTGCAGAAAAAACAACAAAGAACGTTGAAGCCACAAAACAACCTACAAATAAACCACCAACACCTGAAAATGAACCAACCATTCCCTCTGAACCAGAACAAATTGTGCAAGAAGAAGATGGACAGGAAAAAGGACCACATGAAAATGAACCAGAACCAACTGTTCAGGGGGGAGAGGGGCACAAAAAAGGGCACCCAAACGCAAAGCAACACCAAAATCAGCAAAGAAAGCTAAAGCCACCAAAAAATCTACTCCTACTCCTAACGCAACCCCAACTGCACCAAAACCAGCTGCTCAATGATCAAAAAACCAGGGATCAGCATTGCCCAAGCGCAAAGCAACAGCAAGCCCCATTGCTGAAAAGAAAATGCACAAGAGGATAAAGAAATCTGCAAAGAAGAGTGAAATGAGTAAAATGCAATATCTACAAACCAGAATGTCACCAAAGTATTTTCGGACCCTCATTTCGTCTCTATCACCAGATCAACGCAAAGCAATTCAAGATATTGGGTTTGCTGCTATGTTAAACTTGACCATATTTGACTGGGATAGCAGACTAACTAGGTATCTTGTTGAAAGGTTTGATGTCTATGAATGCATACTGATGTTGGAAAATAATGACATGCAACTGTCGGAGGATGATGTACACAGCACAATGAACCTTCCCCAAGGAAAAATCCCTGTGATTGAGGCTCCCACTGAGAATGAATCTGGTGAATATAAGAAATTGTTGGCAGCTTGGAGACAGAGGTGGGAAATAACAAAAGGTTCTCCGGTGACAAATACAATGCCAACGACCATTATTGAGAGAGGAGACAGTGGAGATATGTTCAAAAGAGACTTCGTTGTGCTGCTTGTATCCAGCTTGATAAAAGGTAACCAGAGCACAAAAGCAACATACAAGATTTTATACTCCATGCTTGATGTTTCAAAGCTGAAAGACTTGAATTGGTGTCAATACACATTTAGATCTTTGGTAAATGCTGTTGAATCTTGGAAGAAAAACAAAGAAAGCTTTTTCACCGGTCCTTCACTGTTCTTGCTGGTAATATTTTAGTATGCACTTATAATAATTTTCTCATTAATCTATACGTTATACACTACTACAATTACTGATAAAATAGTTGCTAATTATAGCTTTTATTCTTTCAAAAATAGTTAACATACCTTGATAGAGTACAATACAAGGGTGAGAAGATTCAAAGGGATTACCCTGCAATAACTACTTGGACTGAAGAAGCAGTTAAACGAAGAATCAAGGCAGAAATATTGTCTGGAAGATTTGGACGGGGAAAGGTACTTGACAGAATTCAACATCAAGAACATGTGACCAGGGAAGAAAACATACCAGGGATGAGTGGTGGTCCTGTGGAAGGCAGCCAATCAAATGAATCCCTGGGGAGGATTACATCTGTACTGAATAGGATGGCTGACACAGTTGTTGAGTTTGCTAGAGTGATGGCTGATATAGGAAACACAAGAACTGGCGGAGAAATAATTAAGATCACTTTCGGGAACATTGCTGACATGATTACTTCAGTCTCTTCTTCCCAACCAGAACGAGATGAGACTTTATTGTATGATGATGAGCTTTACAATCATCCAAGTTTCCTTGATGCAGTCGATGCTCTTGAACAGGCATTCTACCAAACCACCAAAGACTACCCAACTCAAGCTCCTGCTAGAACACAAACACCACATCCGATTCAAACACCAAGTTTTGATCTTGGAATTAGCCCTGTACAATCATCACAACCTCAACATATCCCTGAAGAAATGAATGATACGCAAGCACAAAATGCTACTGAAATCCAGAACATTGCACGTGATATTCAAGAGGACAACGAGAGGACAGACTCTGATGAACCACAACTGGAAACCCCACCACCTGAAACTGAAAACAATCTGTTTGATAGGTATGCTCCAACCTATTATATCTATGTTGCTTCCACACATTTTCAATTGAAATGTAATCTTTAATAAATGAAACTGTATTATTCATGAAGTGACACCATATTGTATGCAAACAGACACTGATTAGCATGCCTGACATACATATATATATATATATATATATATATATATATATATATATATATATATATATATATATATATATATATATATATATATATTTGTTGTATTTTACGAACTGAAACTGAAGTTATAATTAACTGAAACTGTAGATATAGATAACTGAAACTGTATATATAGATAACTGAAACTGAATTGTTTATCAAGTGATACTGTATATATAGCACTGTATCTCTATGTGCTGATACATGCATGATCCTCCCTAAAACTGCAGTTTGATTGCTGAGCCTGACATTGATGATAACAATGAGGATGTTATAATTGATAAGACAAGGAGAATCAGAAACCTGTCGTTGCGCCTAAGGTCCCCATACTGGACAGCAAATGTTGAAAAGCTGAAGAATGTCGGTCCAAAGGAAAAGTTGATTTCAAACTATGTTTTCCTTGACCCAACAGAAGAACAACCATTAAGGTATAAAACACACTTAACACACACTATATTATACAATTTTGAATGCTAACTACTTTATTTATATACATTTTCAACTATGACAGTGAACAATTGTTTGGTCATGAGGGATACTACATCAATAGAGAGCAATTCCAAACCCTAAGAAGTGCTGAGATTGAGAGTATATTCTTAGATATTTGGTGTCTAAGACTGAACATGTTGGATCCAAGCCGTGGGATTGATAAGCCAAAGAGAATATTCTTCACAACACAATCTTTCGTAAGCAAACACCATTACTATTTTCACATTATGCATGTGTACTTATGAATAACATCCTTTAATATAAAATATATACTCTACAGCTCCAACTTGACAGTCCAACAGATTGGGCACCACAACACCAATCACATAGACAAGATGACTTTGAGCAGTGTCTAACCACCGAAATACAGAACATGGGGAACGTTGATATTAGTGATGCAAAATTGGTAATCATTTCTTTTTCAAATATTATATTTACAGTTAAACATACTACTACTGTTTTCTAATTTTTTTTTTCTTTAAAAAAACATTAAAAAATCAAAACATGTGTTCTTTCCCATTTACCGGCATCATCACTTCTTTGTCTTGTGCTTCAATTTCATTACATCCAAGCTTGAAATCATTGACAACCTGCCACTCCTCAAAGGGCTGAAAATTCACAGCAAGTATAGTGACTGTCCACAGTTGCTTGTAAGTCATCTAGTTACTTACTTCAGTATTCAAAACCAATTCACCTATAATGCATATCTAATTACTTTTGACATGCAGCAAAATGCATTTGCATTATTCCTTGGAAAGAATGGAATGAAAGATATGCAAGCAAATGTGAAAAAATTGACTGTTGACCTGGTTAAGATGGGTTGGAGATCATCAGCTAACGAGATTGACTGTGGTTTGTATGCAATGAGACATATGAAAACCTACACGGGGGATCAGAACTGGAAATGTGGATTTCTTCCAAAGAAACGGGATCAAAATGTATGTACATATAATACTTTACATATTTGTACTACTCAAATTCTCTTGACACAAAACAGAGTTAACTAATTTGTACCAACAAAATGCAGGATCTCTACTTGATGTCTCTACGAGCAACATATGCAGCCAGAATTATCATGATGCCAACCAATCAGTACAAGGAAGAAGTCCTGAAGAATGCCAAGACAGTGTTTGAAGGCAACAAATAGATGACTATGACAAACGGAACAGCTAAAAAATGTGCATGTTTGTTTTGATATGACAAGAACATAAGTCACTTAAATGGTGTCAATATTTTTGGGGACCAAATGACAGATTCCATTGATATTTTGGGCAGATGTTCATCTTATTTACAAGTTTGTTGACTGAAAAACAATGTTGTTTGGTTGTAAAGTTTGCTCACTGAACACAATGATGGTTCTTAACTTGAAGTTTTTTGGTTAATCAATATAATGATGAAATTCCATTTGAATGTTTTTAAGTTTCAGTATATTACACGTACACTTTCAGTTCGTAACCAATACAGTATCATTTCATTACACTTATAGTTTCATTTACTAAGATATGAAAATATTAAAGACATTATATTCAGTTTCATTTTGCATAAACTAAAGTATCATTTAGTAGACACTACAGTATCAGTTCATTATACTTACAGTTACATTGAAATATGGATGAAAAATGTGAGAGACATACTGTTTAGTTTCATTTTTCATACACTGTAGTATCATTCTATATACACTGCAGTATCATTTAAAAATAACTAGGACTTCATTTAAAAACATAAAAAATAATATGTCAAACGTGCAGCTCAATTTCATACTGCAAAAAACTATGCTACCATAACAACACACAGACTATCTAATAACCAATCCAATCCAATATTACAATGATTGTAATTCACCTATCAACTAGGTTTAACCAAACCTAACTCATGACTGCCGCTAGACGGATGAACAAAATAACCACTGCCAACAATATTAGCAACAACTCCTTCAACAGATGCCTGCACTGCAGCCTTTGTACACATTTCAGCAACCTTGACACCCAACTTCCTCCCTCTCACTTGGTTATACTTTTTTTCGATTGTGCTAATATGCCTCCTATTGCGTTCAACTTTCGCCCTATTACGTGCTGGATTTTGAATTACACCAGCTGTCCGTTGTTCACCATCTTCAATGATAATAGGACCAATATCACATTCAACCTTCCTTCTAGCATCCTCAAAAGCATTTTCACACACTTCCCGAGCCTTGCAATTTGCTTGGCTGGATAAAACTAACTGGTGAAACTTCCTACCCATTTGAATAACCCAAACAGATAACGCAATGCTAAAAATATTCGAGGAACAATCACGGCTTATTATTCTATCTTCAATAACCTTTTTGGTCCATCTTTTGATAATGTACTTATCCGGTATTGCTGCAACACAATGGACATTAAAAATGCGTAAAGAATGGGAGCATAAAATACCCATCTCTGAAAACAACATACAACTACAAGATATATCCAAATCATTCACTTTGAAACACACTTCATGACGAATGAGATCAACGTCAGGACGCCACACATGATACTTTATCTCGTTACCACTTCCCCCAACAGATTCTTGATGGCATGAAGTCCCTTTCACAAACTGTTCGTCAAAACGATAATATATCTCAATAGTGTATATGTCTCTAGCATGTGAAAGGAGCTTCACATGATTCATCACCATAGGTGCCAACCCTTGTGAACAACGCACGTTTTCACCGTTTTCCCTACTTCTCCACTCAGAAACTACACTAACAAATGAATTATAAAAATCACACAACCCAGCTGTTTTTTATAATCTTAAAGATATTGAATGATTCGTAGACTCACTCCTTTGAGATGATAAAATACCACCAGAGAAATATTCTTTACTAAATGCAGGGCACTATTTCTCCTTATTAGAATATAGCTTATTTAACCAAACATTTTTATGGCACCCATATTCTGTCATCATCCTGAAAAAAATATAAAGAAAAAAAAAAAGGAACATGAATTTAAACCTATACTGTGTATTTCTAAGTTGATGATCATATTTCTAAGTAGAGGGGATATGGGGAATGCCGAATAAATCCAGCTGAGCTCTACAAACATATACAATCATCAACTGTTAAACACTGACACAGTATCATTTCATCACATAAGAAGTATCATTTCATACAACCTATAATATCATTTAATAGTTAAGGTACTGTCAATCAACATACAGGAAACAATTCACCAGAATATAAAACACTAACATAATATCATTGTGAAAAATCAGTAAAAATACCTGGTCCAATAAAATTCAAATTCAGCTTCGGTGTCAGTGTACTTCAACAGAAAATTGAAAAGCTCTAAGAAACCCTTTTTATTTCTCAGACTTTTTATGTGCGTCTTCGAATTATCCCCGATGTGCCATATACAAAGCCTATGATTTGAATTCGAAAATACTTGTGCGATTGCAGCAGCCATGGCAGCACACTGATCAGTCATTATTGTTTGAAGATGCTTACCACCCATTGATCGTACAAATACTTTGAACAACCAGACAAACGACTCTATCCTCTCATTGAGTAAAAACCCACAACCAAACATCACATTCATGCAATGATGATTCATGCCTACAAAAGGGGCACATATCATATCATACCTATTTGTACGGTATGTTGTATCATGTACAACTAAATCACCAAACAAATCATAATCAGCCTTCATTTGACCATCCCTCCAGAAAAAGTTACAGAGCCTTGCATCCTCATCAAGTTCAAATTCAAAATAGAAATCAGATTCATCCATTTGTCTCCTTCTAAATATCTCAATCAAACTATTAGAATCAGTACCATCTAAATGCTTTGCCGAATCTGAAGATATCATGTTATATGCATCCCTAGGAGTAAATCCAACAAACGGTGACCCTCCTGACTGACGTTTTAAAAAGCGAATACCATCCGATAAGGGGACCCCACTCCTCTTCATGTTTTTTAAACATGTCAGCTGATTCTTAGACACTTTCCTATGCAACCTAAGCATATAACTTGATGAAGCCCGACACAGGTCATGGTTATGCTCCTTCACATGTTTAGTAACAACCCAATTCCCATTTGAATCTATATCAAACTGACACATTGCATTACATCCAAATCTAGTAACTATCTTTGAGTAACACCTATTAGGAATATCATGCATTATTCTAAAACCAGACTTAGAACAACAAAACATTTTCGTCTTTAAAATCCGAGTACCAGTAACATAATATTGTTTGCCCTTTCTAGCACTAAATCCCATATGAAACGCATAATCATTGTATATACCAAATGCATCTTCTATTGATCCAACAGAAAGTCCCAACAATTCTTCATTATCTGTGATTTTATTAAAACATCCCTTTAATATTTCTAATGAAACTATAGATACTACATTGGTATTCTACTGACACTAGTGTGCATTAAAAATGAAACTGACTACCATGATTTTGAAAACACAACAAATTCAAAATCAGTTAATAATCGAACTAAACATATAACCTGGAATAGCTGACTCTTCAACAATAACATGTTCAGATGTACCATCAACAACAATCGAATGGTCAAAATTGTAACACCCCGTGTTACGGCCCCTAAAACCATTTAATTAATTAATCAATAGCCCAAGAGAAAGAATAAATCATAATGATTAATTAGGGAAAAGGCCCACCATAGTCCATGGGCCTTCATATATAAACCCAACCCCTAAACCCAATCCTTAGTTCCAAAAGGAATAGAATTAGCGAGCCTATAATATTAGTTCCTAATTAGGACTCCTAAATATATAAATAAGGGACTTAGGAGGCACCTAGAACTTCCCACAAAAATAACGCCCCACCACCCCAAAAGAGCTCCAAGAATCCCCTTAGGAGAAATCAAGAAAGCAAGGAAGCTTAAAGAAAGATCCTTCATAGCTAAGGAATTAATTAAGGCTAAGAGGTAACCCATGTCTCAACAAAACCTATTTTCATAGCTATGATTCCCCCTTAGGATTTCCCCCATATTATTGTGTATTGGCGAGATATGATGATTATTATTGATGTTTGATGTGATGATCCCATGAGGGATCTTGATGATCTTGATATTGGGAGATTCTTGATAATTATGGTATTCTTGATAATTATATGGAGTTCTTGATAATTATGTGTTGTTCTTGATAATTGTGTGATGCTCTTGATGTTTATGTGTTATTCTTACCGAATCTTGCAATTAGAAGACGAACCGTATTCTTGTTGATATAAAAGTGATTAGAACCCTAGGTTGTATCGTATGATCTTATTCTTGGATTATCGGGTGGGGAAATCGCATGTTTGGGTGTTGATTATATTAGAAAAGCATGATAGGTTATGTGCCGTTCGTTTCTCGTATTTGATTCGTTAATTGTCTACGTGTTGTCGTTAATTGCGTTGTAAAGTGTCTAAGCATGGTTTTGGGTTCCACAACGGTTCCCGGGGCGCAATTGATGAAAAAGAGTCAGTGGGGGGTAGGGGACCCGCCACCTACCCGGTGCCGAGAATTACCGCCTGGCAGCGGGTGGCCGGCGGGCGGGCAGCTGCCCGCCGGCGACCCGCTGCCCGGAACAGTGAGTCCGGCGGGCAGCCGGCGGGTGGCCCCCACCCACCGGCTACCCGCTGGAAATTTCCCCCAACTTGGGATCCCGGCTTCCCCGTTTGATGTTCCCCGTTCCCCGTGGTGTCCCAATGGACTCCGTTTATCGTGCCTATGTCTAGTTTGATGTTTCGGGTACCGTTCGTAGGTTTATGAGTCTATTATATTGCATGCTAGTTGAATTGGTATCCCGTTGACCTAGGTGGAAGAAGTATGAACCCCTTAGGACTATTATTAGTAAGTGATGGATCACGCATAGGTTTTGTTATACGTTTTCTCCCCCTTCCTAATGTGTAATGTGGGTTGCATGTGCTTGCTATGTGTTATGTGTGTGTTACCCCAATTCGGTTGCGATCGGATTGGTTATCCTGAGTTGCGGTTCAGAAGCTGGCTGCGGTCAAATTGATACTCTTGGGCTGCGGTCCACCGTTTGGTTGCGATCAAACGTTTCTATACGAGCTGCGGTTCGTCCTCTTTCCTGGCTGCGGTCAGATGACATTCTCTTGGGCTGCGGTCCACTGTTTGGTTGCGATCAAACACTATGATGAGCTGCGGTTCATCGGTCGGTTGCGATCGACCCCTCCGTGTTGCGATACGGGGCAGGGTGCTGCGGGGCCGTGTCAGAGCTATATGCGCTGACCCTCATGTATGGGCATGCGATTGGTCCTGTGGCGCCAACAAAGTGCGCTATGTGTTGTGATATGGATGAGTGGTGATCATGAGTGTCTTGTGGGATGTGACTATGGGATTTATGTTGGGGATTGTTTATGTTGGGTTGTGGCTATTGTTTATGCTTTGCCTTATGTGCCTTATCTGTTGTGAACTGCATATGTTTGTTATAACTGTTGCTCGTGTCTGGCCTTATCTGTCGAGTCATTCCCGGTTTTAAAAGCTAGAGTTCGTAGGATATATCTTCATGCTCAAAATGGTTTTCGTATATCTATATATATCTCTATATGTATTGTATTTCAACGCGTTGGAGTGGGTTACCAGCATCTCTCGCTGAACAGATATATTTGGCTTTCAGGCACAGAGGACTAGAGCACTGGAGCGCGCTAGAACTGGAGCGTAGAAGTAGAGTAGTTTCCCTTTCGGCCTGGGTGCCATATTATGCTTCGTGTTTCAATGGATATTAGTTAGACAGCCTGTGCACCTAGGTTCTCTAGCCCAGGTGTGGCATAGCACCCCGTACATTTATGATATACTTTGGGATGTAATGAGATATTACCTTTATTATATAAGCTTAAAATATCTTGAAATTCTGGGGTGTTACAAAAATCATCTGCAACAAAATAAAAATATAAATTGACACTTCAGGTCACTAAAACCGAAACTATATTGGTCAATAAACGAAACTACAGTGATATCAACATGAAGCTGCGTAACATGATCCTGAATAATGTATAACTCAAATAAGAACATGAACAAGAACATTAATACAGTTAATACCTAGAATATACTCATTATCGTCAACAGAATTTGTATACGGAACATCAGATGCAATCGGCGAAATACATTCACCGGCGACCGGAATATCATCTTTACCTGCAACAAAAAAAAAAACCATAACATATCTACCAATTACACTCAAACAATAACAACATCACACAAAACTGCAATACATAATATAATGATATACACCTGTAATTACTGAACTATTCTCATCAACGATCTTTGAATTCGAATCAATCTCATCAATCCTATTTGTAACTACTATTTCATTCATGTTTCCGAACATAGAGAACAATACAATAATTTGACCGATACCAAAACTATAGCAATTCGAACTAATCGAAAAAGGAACAGATCGAAGAATCTTAAGAAAAAAGAAAAAGAAAAAGGAAAGAACGACAAATCTAATAAAAGGAAAGAAATACGAATTCAAAATAAGGAAATAACGACGAATGATAGAAATTAGCCGTCCGGAAACAATTAACGGCGACGTCTAAACGCGCCCTAATTAATGATAAATTAAACAACGTCGTTTCATACCCTCGGTGCATAATGGATTATGCACAGCGGTGCATAATATAATTTGCGCACAAAAAGCTAAGCTAAAAGAGTGTCACATGACTCACATGGACAAACTAAAGAACATTTAATTTAAATTTAATATTATTGGGACTCTTGATATTTCCTTTCAATTAAAATTAATGGTGTCTTCTGATCAAGATAATTACTCTATTTAAAGGTTAAACACAATCAGACATGGATATAGACCAATGAAGTTGAAATTAGAAATGTTTATAGACATTTTGTTGTCTCTCTTGTGTTGAGAGATGTTCTTCTAGGCTTATCAAGATAATTTTCAATCTTGTGGTTCCACTCATTCCTCATCACCTGAGATCAAGGTGTGAATGAGATACCCTTATAAAAAAATACAAAAAATCCCTTAACCAGCCCCTACACCAGCCAAATTCCATCTCCTACACCCCCAAACCGTATTTTTAATTAGTTTCTGTTGTTTTTGTGAGGACAAGATCGAGCAACCAGAGAACGCTTTGACGAATCGATTCTCGAATTCATCTCCAAAGATCTGTATCAATAAGGCTCATTACGATTGTAACAACCCAAAATTTCATTTTATAAATCCAGTATTAGGAAATTCCAAAATAACTTTTTCACTCTATTAAAAATTTTTGCGATCAATCGGTGGTTGAATAAAATAATTTCGTCGCATTTTAAAATTAATTCGACACCGAAGAAATAAATTCCATTCGAAAATCCCTAAGTTTTCGGGTACTTCGCGTACCAAGATTTAAATCGAGAATTTTATCTGAGTGAGACCGGGAGAATTCAAAAAGGATTTTTGAACAAGTGTTCATCCAAATAGCTTTTGGGAAAATTCATTTTCAACCCCAAAGTATCCAAAGTTAGCATTTCTAGCCCTTGGTCCATGATACAAGGTGAACCACAAGGCCATGTCTAATATTTTAAAGATGTAAGCCAAAAGACCATTTTGCCCTCAACCAATCATTGAGCATCTACCTAGGTTTTGCACCCTATTTATACTCCACTATTCTCATTGTTCTCCTGATCCCATCCTTGCCTCTCCAAGCTTTGGTAGAAGAAGAAAACTCACAGTAAGCATCTTCTATCCTTTCCTTCATCTTCCTTTAAGGTTTCTAGCTTCATTGTTCTAAATATCTGAGGTTTATATCCTTAGGCTTAGCTTGTATGTTTGTTTGGAAAGTTTAGGAAGTGAGGGTGGTGCTAGCTAAGTATAGAGGAAGAAGAAGTTCACACAAGAAGAAGAAGCTACAAGAGGTATAACCCCATGGATTCCTCTTTAAATTTGGCTCTGTGAAGCCTAGTTTTGAGTAGAAATGAGTAGAAACTATGAGCTTTTGATGTGTTTATGCTTAGAAGTGATTTATTATGTGTTTGTGAGTTGTTGAGATAGTTTTGGACTTGTTTGGATGAGATTTTGCAAGAGAAATGCCATCTGGTGCAATGTGCACCAAATCAGAGTGGCGGCCCTAGCCGCGACCCATAAGAAGGGCCGCCGGCTAGAGCCGTGGTGGCACGGGACTAGGGCACGGCCCTAGAGGAGGGCCGTTGCCTAGTCCCGGAGCTTCAACGGGGCTCCAGGGGCGAACCATGAAGAGTCCCGCCCCAGGTCCCTGAGTATTGTTTGTGAAGGATTTTTGTGCAGTGGCCGAGCCCTTGTGGCTCAGCTACGTGTCGTTTCGGACCGAGTGTTACGGGCCCTTATAGCTCGGCTCTTCGGGATCGTCTCGACGCACGTTTTGGCTTTGACTTCGTTGAATTTGGATTTAAAATGGGTAAGATGTGAATGATTTATTGAAGAATTGTTACACAGTGCATATTTTGCTAAGTTCTTTGTGTTTGAGAAATTGTTGATTTTGTGATCAGATAATGTTTTTATTGAGTAAAGAAGAATGATCCTTTGAGACTATGATTTATTATGAAAGTATGATTAAATTGTATTGTTTGATCAATGAGAATAGAAGCATATTTGTTGAGTGAAATGTATAGAAATTTCTATGTTGCAAACCGAGCATGATGATATATTCTTGAATACTTCATGTTAGTTTATACATGATTTAGAAGCATGTTATAGAGCACTTTGACATTTCACATGAGTCGTATTTCAAAAATGCATAAGGGGCCAACGTGAGTCCAAGAATACTTTAAAAAAACCATAAGCATGTGGTATATCATTCTTTGATGCATTGAGAAGTAATAAAATTGTTGCATGCATGAGATTGATGCATGAGAGATATATTTATGTATTATCTATATCGGTGAGGTTTTGGAGGATACCGTTTGGACTATGTTCCTCCTGGGAGATATTTATGGACATTGTGGTCCCAGTATATGTAACGCGGCGTATTCCCACGTTATGAGGTTGGAAACTTCCCGCCAGGCTTGGAATCCTGGTTAGGGGGTGTGCACACTAATAGTTCGATACCTGATTCCACAGAGTTTGAACCACGAGATTGGTTCCGTAGACAGTAGGAGATATTGGGTCGGAATTATGCCGTTCCCGATGGTACTTCTGTGAAACCCTAAGCCGTCTACGAGTATAAGAGAAAGAATGAGAGTCAACAGAGACTCAAGAAAGAGAGTCAATAAAGACCCGAGAAAAAGAAAGAGAGTCAAGAGAGACTCGAGAAAGTAACAAAGAGACCTCCATAGAAAGTACTCTAATTTATAAAAGAGCGTATGAGTATATTGCTGCACTAGATTGCATATGAGTATGATTATATTGTTGCACTAGATTGCATAAGAGTATGATTATATTGTTGCACGAGATTGCATATGAGTATGAGTATATTGTTGCACTAGATTGCATAAGAGTATGATTATATTGTTGCACTAGATTGCATAAGAGTATGATTATATTGTTGCACTAGATTGCATATGAGTATGAAAATATTGTTGCACTAGATTGCATAAGAAGTATGATCATAATGTTATACATGATTGTATGCGAATAGAGCATCGTAAAAGATTGTTTAATGAGAAGTTTAACTTGAGATATTCCTTGAACATGATTATTGAGTTGTATTAGAAGCTCCACTTATCAAGTTATGTGATAAGAATATGAAAGCATGTAAACACCTGTTATATGGTCTTTTATCATGATCCAATCCGTAAGCATGAGTTTCTTGTTAAGTTATTTGAGAAGTCTATATGTTGATGAATATACGTGATCAGTCTTATACATATATAAGCATGCCTGCTGATATTATAGGGTTCAAGCATTTAGAAAGAATATGATAATCTTAAGATGATTTGAGATTAGCTTATTGCTATAAAGATATCAAATGTTTTCAAAGTATATGCTAGAATGCTTTACAGGGTTGAGTGTGGTTATACTTAGCTTCGTGCTAACGGGTGTTTTTCCTGTTGTCTATGTGTTGCTTGCAAAAACCCTTTCAGGGGGGCCATCGGTGAGAAGAGATCGAGTTAGATTAGTCTCTTAGTTTGAGATGTCTAAACTCTAGTTTTAATTATGATCATGTTATGGATATAAACTTATGACTTTATGTTTGAGGATTGATGTAGACTGTGTTGGGGTGACGTTTTCCCCCCTTACATTTCCAGTATTTTTTATTAGTACCCAAACTTAATCTTATTTGTAGTTTAATAGTTTTACCCCTTTTTGCCTGTGCAATCACCAAAGAGTGGTGGTTGTGGCCAGGGACGGAGGGAGAGGGGGGCAGGGGGTGCGGCTGCCCCCCTCACTTCACCCCGACCTCATATATAGTATTTGTATGTATATATGTATATACAGTACATGTTTTAGTATTAGTATAAAAAATACTATAAAATATTAACAAGAAGTGAGTTAGAGTAGGTGGTAGAGCACAACTTTGGTAATAATGAGGTTAAGGGTTCCAATTTTAGCATTAACATAGTTTTACAATTCTTTTTTAATAGCTTTTTTAATATTACACACACACTCTATAATAAGATGTGTAATTTATAATATGTTTTCTAAAATTATTTTATTAATTATGTTTCATATTTTGTTATGAATATTTTTATAAAGTTTCGATGTGTTTTATTTTTCGTCCATATCCAACAATATTTACAATTATATTTCTTAGGTAGTTTGTTTATTTATTTATTTTTAAATTATCTCTTTTGTTTTAATGTTTCGCCTTTTCTAGAAAAAATTTCTAAATCCGTCTGTACTATTTCGCCCCCCCTCAACTAAATTTCTGGCGGTGACACTCCCACTACTTATCTTCTAGTTTTCCGCTGCTTAGTTTATGTTAATGTCTGTTTAGAGATGTAATTAAAAGTTAGAAAAGTGGGGTGTTACAATGATAGCCAGGGGCGGACCTAGCATGGGGGCAGCTGGCCCTCTCACCCCACCCCACCCCATATATAACCCTTGTATGTATATATGTATATATAGTACAAGTTTTAGTATAAGTATAATAAAATAAATAAATTTTAATAAAAGATAATTAGATCAGGTGGCTAGACATGTGTACTATTTATCTAGGAGGCCAGGGTTCAAACTTTGCATGTGTGCAAATTTACTCCTTGTGACTTAGGTAGCAACATATATATAACTTTGTTTTATATTAATAATGAGATGTGTTTATAATTTTTATGACTTTTATACTTCGTATTAATTAATTGTGAGATTTACACACATATATATAACTTTCTTTTATATTAATAATGAGATGTGTTTATAATGTATTTTTTATTCGAATTATTTTATCAATTTGATTATGTTTCATATTTTGTTATGAATAATTTTTTATAAAGTTTTGATGTGTTCTTTTATATTAATAATGAGATGTGTTTATAATGTATTTTTTATTCGAATTATTTTATCAAATTGATTATGTTTCATATTTTGTTATGAATAATTTTTTATAAAGTTTTGATGTGTTTTATTTTTCGTCCACATCCAACAATATTTGTGACTATACTTTTAAGTAGTGTTTTATTTTTTTTTATCAAACTATCTCTTTTGTTTTAATGCATTTCGCCCCCACTGAAAAAAAAAATTTCTGGGTCCGCCACTGACGATAGCCTACAACTATATTTAATAATATGGACAAAAAAAACATTCATTAAGTTCTAATACATATATAAATTCTCAATCTCTACTACATTAATTTTATTTCTTAATGTGACAAGCTAAGCAATGATAAGTTATTGTTTAAATCAAAGATTTGAGTAGAGGAGTAGGAGTCGGGAATGTAATGTGATACTCGGGTAGTATTTTCGTATCTTCATTTTACCTGCCATATCAGGTTAATTTTATTTAACATCACAATTATATTCTCAAACGTAACCTTAAAGTAATTTCTGTGATCATTACACTGTACGTACACATGTTGATGTTCAACCGTACGAATATAGAAAACCAACTATATATATATATACACTGTACAATCCACCAAACAGTAGGCATAACCACATTATAGTCTAGTTTGAATCAAACTGTGCACTGTACAAACTGAACATTAATCAAAACGATATGATGATCGCTCCAAGCAAATAATAGTTAAACAAATAACATTATGTTTGAAAGCAACCATATTGAAGGCAAAGGAGAAAGATTTTCATCATCATTTACTTTGATATATCCTACATTAGACCTTTAAACAAATAACATTATGTTTGAAAGCAACCATATTGAAGGCAAAGGAGAAAGATTTTCATCATCATTTACTTTGATATATCCTACATTACTATATATGTGGGTAAGTATTACTTAGGGTATCCTCAGTGGCGGATCCAGAAAATTATGTCAGTGGGGGCATACTTAAAATGACATTAGAATTGTTAATGCTAAAATATCAAACACCTATAATATGGTTCAAATATATTATAAATTATAATAGAATGTTTATGATAGACTACTTAAGGGCAGAGCCAAAACTATACTTGGGTAGAGTGATTTTAGAACACTTTGAAATGTTATAATAATATTATAGCAAAATGTAAAACATAATCAATTAAATAAAATCTTTAGAATAGAAAAGAAATTATATTCATAAATATTAAATATAAAACATAATCAATTAGATAAAATAGTTTGAGCAGAAAAGAAATTATATTAATAAATACTTTAATTTAAAAAAGAAAAATTTATTAATAGATGGGAAGAAAGAAAAGTGCTACAGGTGGGAAAAAATTTATTAATAGGTGGGAAGAAAGAAAAACATTTATTAAAAGCTTCATAAATATTAAATATAAAACATAATCAATTAGATAAAATAGTTTGAGCAGAAAAGAAATTATATTAATAAATACTTTAATTTAAAAAAGAAAAATTTATTAATAGATGGGAAGAAAGAAAAGTGCTACAGGTGGGAAAAATTTATTAATAGGTGGGAAGAAAGAAAAACATTTATTAAAAGCTGGGAAGAAAGTAAAACGTTGGAGGTGGGTTTCAAACCCATGCCATTTCATATATCATAACCAAGGTTCAACCAATTGAGCTACTAAATCCTTTAGTGATCTTGACATATAAATATATATATATATTAAGAAATTGCGGAGGGGTGAGTGGGGGCTGCCCCCATTGTGGCTCCGCCACTGGGTATCCTTAATAGTGGGGTTTTTGGTGAGGTGTTTGAAAAGTTGTGATAGATGTGATTAGGAAAGAAAAAATGAGAAGAAATAGAAAATGAAGAAAAACAAAACAAAGCTAAATTAGAAAAAAAAAAAAAAAAACAAGGTAATTAACGCGTCTGGCTGGACGCAAGTTGTTCTTCACACGTAGACTGTAGGCGAGCTTCCTCCCATCAGGTGCGCCCCACAAACTGACAAAAACCACAAATTAGCAGGAGGACCTTGGGCAATCTCTCTTTTCCATCTTTCTCTCTTCCATGTTGGCAATTTTTTGTCTAAAAAACCATGAATGTGGATGCCCTTACAAACATGCACGAGTTCCTATATATACTCTGTGTGCGCGCCAAAAGACCCCTACTTTCTCACTAACTACGCATAATATCATGACCAGTGTTGCAAAAATCCCGCCTAGACATCGATTAATCAGCGCCTCGGCACTAGGCGTTGACTGGCCGCCTAGTATATCACCGTAATCGGTGGTCTAGGCGGCCGACTAAACTGCCTAAGTGCGGCTTATGTGCTGACCGCCTAGGCCTCCTAGGCGTCGACTAGGCTTCCTAAACACTGGTTAGGCCACCTAGTCGGCCGATTAGCTATTGTTCTATTCTTTTTTAAGTGGGTCATTATTTGCGAAATAACCCTAAATTGTTTAAACTCTAGATGTTTTTAGGTTATATTTAATATTTTAGTATTAATTATTAAAGTACTAAATAGTTTATAATTATAAAGTCTTAAAAATTTTAAAAAGTTTAAGCAAATTTTTAAAAAAATAAAAAAATACACAGGCGCTTAGACGCCGATTAATCACCACCTAGGCGCTGATAAGCACTATTTTTATATTTAATTTAGATTAATTTTTATAAAAAATGATTTTATTTATTCAATATTATACAGAGTATTTATTTTAAACTTTAATTTATATTTTATATTAGCTAGGTATTTGAATAATTGACTAAATTAAGCTTAGTGAATACATATTACATTTTGTTAATTAATAAGAGTTGAGGTAGGTGGAATTAGAGTGGACTGATTCTTTTCTTTCTTTTTGTTTGTGTAATTTAGTCCAACTAAAATATTTAATTTGTTTTCAAAAAAATAAATATTTAATTTGTTTTATATGTTCAGTCGAAGTCCCATATTTTTTTGAAGGTCAACCAATGTGGTTGTATTTATAGATAAACTGAGATAGGGTCAGGTGGGACGCCATCCCAATACATAAGCATAATCAAAAGTTGTAGAAGCCAACGTGTGTGCTAAATAATTCTGCGATCTAGGAATAAAAATAACTTAACAGGAATTAAATGTAGATATGCAAGCTCTGCATCCATCAATAGCATAACCAATATACGAACGAGGCGGGGCTCCTGTTGAAGATAGATAGCTCTGAAGTGTCTGACAATCTGTGTATAACTCTATAGACTGTTCTCCATGTGCTCGTAACCATGACAAGGTCTCTTTGCACGCAAACGCCTCGGCCATAAGTGGGGAGAAACAGTTTGGTAGAGGAGCGTTGTAGGCCGAAATATATCCACCGTCCGCATCCATGAGTACTGCTCCGACCGTAGCTGAGTTCGACGAATGGTGGTATCCAGCATCGACGTAGCATCTTCTCGACCGTGTTGCAGTAGCATGGGGCACACTGGGCGGTAGTGACGGTGCTGGATGCATCGGCTGGGCAGAGTGAGCAGCACCGGACGGCAGTGGCGCTGCTAGGATCGTCGGCTGGGCAGGGGCAGCACCGGCGTTGCCATCGGACGATGCCCGGTCGGCTGTTGTGTGGTGGACTTGCCGCCATACTCGCATAGTGGCTCCGGCCGTTGCTAGTAATTTCTTCGACAGTGGTAGGCATGCATCCCAAATGGCTCCATTCCGTTCTCTCCAAATATGATATAAAATTGCTGCTGCGTAGATAATTCCATCAGTGCCTAGAACATTCAAGATTGCACTAAACCATTCATGAAAAATATTTGTCACAATATTTGGGAGTGGAAGGTTGGATTGAGTCCATATGGAATTTGCATAGCCACACAAACCAATGAGTGCATAGTGTCCTCATTATTGATTCCACACATGGCACACATCGGATCAACCTCTACCCTCTTTATAAGCAAATTGTTGGTAGTGGGAATGTGAAGGATATCACTTATAGTTCTCCATAGAAAGGTCTTCCATTTGGGTGAAATTTTAAGCTTCCATAAAGCGAGCCATTTACTGAATACACCATCATTATTATTCTCATAATTTCCAACGATGAGCCTGTAGTCATTCTTAACGGAGTAGCATCCCTTAGGATCCCCATGCCAGTACCACACGTCATCATATTCCAGAGAAATCGGTATTTTCATAATTCTAGATACATCACATGGTTGGAAAATATCAGTGAGCAAATGATGGTCCCATGAACCTGTATTCTGGTCGATTAAACCCATCACTTTAGCACCAGCCAACTGGGGTGGCATCTCTGTCTGAATCATAGGATCTTGGTCATCCTGGATGCAGGGGTGTCCCCAGATTAAGGTAGAAATTTCATTCCCAATACGCCGTCTTACTCCATTACATATTAGGCCTTTAGCTGCCATAATACTACGCTAACAATAGCTAGGATTATTTCCTAATCATGCTTCAGAAAAGGAATCCTTAGGATAATACCTAGCCCTATAAACACGAGACATCAATGAGTCAGTGTTAGTAAGCAAACGTCATGCCTTCTTACCCAATAGTGACAAATTAAATGCTATCAGATTTTAGTGCCAAGTCCCATCTTTAATTTTCCCTTTCTTTTCCTTTTGTTTTACTAGCCTTGTACGTAGACAGCAGAATCGGCGAAGCCACGCAAGATTTCTTCTTCTTTGAACGATTCTCGTGCAACTGCAGCGACGACTACAACAACTACGAAGAAGACTCCGTTTGCGAGTTCTGTCCACGAACTGTAGCGAGCGTCTGTGAACTGCCGTAGCTTCTGTATGCGTCATTTGCGAAGGAATTTCGACCGTAAATTGTTGTCATGAACAGACAAAATTACATTGAAGCAGAGGTTGGAGCTTGTTCTACTGATTTTCTGTGGTTTCTTAGCATTTAGGAAAATAAAGATTATTTATTTTCTAAATTTTGTATGGTTGAAGAAATTGATTTTATTCGTGTTAGGGAAATCAGGCTGTTTTTAGGAGTCTGAACTAATATAAATAGGACTGAATTTTGCAGTAGAGAATAGTCAGTTTTCATAGATTAATTTTATGGGGAATCAACGATTTGGTTCCTCAATTATTAGCGAACTGTCAATGTAGTCCCTCAATCGCTTATTCATCGATTTGGTACCTGAAAATAATTGTTTTTTGTCGATTCAGTCCCTCCGGCGGTAATCCGTCAATAAGCTGGTGATAACTCCGATTTGCCATGGGCAATTTAATCATTTCCTATCTTTAGTCTCTTAGGGGGTGTTTGGTTGGATGGAAAACATTTTCCTAAAAGTGAAGGAAAATGATGTTTTATGTTGTTTGGTTGGATGGAAAACATTTTCCATTGGAAAAAGTTTTCCTTGAGAATGAGGAAAACAAATTCCTAGCCCATCCTAGGTATTTTGTTTTCCATGGAAGACTAATATGACAATTTTAGCTTCACCATTATTTATTAATTACTCTTATTATTATTATTATATTATTATTATTATTATTATTATTATTATTATTATTGTGTAGGGTTATATTTGTCATTATACACATTATTCCTTACCATTCCAAACTCAACTAAACAATGAAATTCATATTCCCAGTAATTTCTTTTCCACCAACCAAACAATGGAATCTATTTTCTTGGAATTTATTTTCCATGGAATTTCAATTCCATTTCCCTTCAAATATTTTCCAGCGAACCAAACGAGCCGTTACTCTCTCTATTAGACCAATTTGGGTCGTCTATTCCGTCCGATGGGTAGTTCGGAAATAGAGAGGTCGTCTATTCCGTCCTCCTTCATCGCCATTTCCCCTATTCGGCGGCACCAACGTGACAAGCAGATTTCTTCATGTCCAAAAACCGCCGTTGATCCTCTATAGTTCTCTGCTTCGTTTCTAGAAGGTGGAAAAGGAGAAGTCTTGGTGCCAAAACTTCTCCTTCAGTGGTGGGTGTGGGCGGTGCGTGATGCAGTAGATAGGAGGGGTGCATCCAATTTAATTGGTAGAAAATGGCAATGGAATGCAGAAACTAAGCAAGTGGAAGGAGAGAGAAACAGAGGAAGAAAGATAAAAGGAAAAGGAGAAGAAAATTAAAAAGGGGGAGAGAAGTGTACTACGCGGGTTAGTCCGCTCACTCCAAATTTGATCGGATCCAGTCGTCAACAATATAACTCCGGTCATCAAAAGCATAGTCGCCCGTAGCAGCCTGAATCTTTTGCGTTGACACTCCAGCTTGTGCACTATCGGCAAGTTCTGCGTGTGTAATCCAGTTTAGTTATTTGAGCTTCGCCAACCTTTCCCGTAGTCTCCCGAGCAGCACCAAGCAACCGACATTCTTGATCGCCACCTGGCTTGGTTATGTGCAGTAGGTTTCGTCGTAGATATTCCCGAGCAGATGAGCACACATGCAGAGGTCGTGACTATTTGTTTTAAAGACGTTGGTGATCGGAAAGTCCAAAACGACGATCAACGAGACGGCGGGTCTTGGAATGCGATGATTACTGCTTTTTATTCTTACAGACGACCAGTCCGTGTCTGTCAGAAGTGTGCGACGTTGTACCAGCCTACCTTGCCGTGTGAGTGGAACACTGTGAGCTACCTCTACAAGCATGACCACGCCGGTGTTCGGGATTATCTCTGCAAGAGGATGTACACACTGCCACTCTCAAGCATTGAGAGCTACATGTTCCAGAGTGCGCTACAAGTGCACTGGTTCTTGATGGCGGAGTTGGAGGACATAGATATCAGTAGGATTCAGGAGGAGTGCCAAATTGATGCTACTTTGATGGGGGAGTGGCAACCCTTGATAAAGCCTCAAAGTTCCACGTCAAGCCCCATGGGGAAGAACCAGATGCTTAATAAATTACTGTTTTCCAAGCAGAGAGGCTGTTATTATGGACTTCTTCTTCACCGGCGGTACAACGTGATTGTTGTCATTTTCACCCAATTTAGTAAGCCTTTCACAGCAGGATTTTCACCCAGTTCAGTAAGTCTTTTACATTGATCTGGATATGGGGTTTGGTTGCACCACCCGTTCAAGTTGCCGACCGCCGGGGAGAGGATGAATGAGGGAATTATTGAAACTAGTATGATGACGAGAAAACATAGCCTCGTACCCATGTGGTTCTCTGATCTGATATGATCTGTGTTATTCAGGTTTTGATTTTTGGGTTTGGGATGGGCGAGAGAGGAAATTACTAAATTGCCCATGGCAAATCAGAGCTATCGCCGGCTTATTGACGGATTACGGCTGGTGGGACTGAATCGACGAAAAACAATTATTTTCGGGGACCAAATCGATGAATAAGCGATTAAGTGACTACATTGACAGTTCGTTAATAATTGAGGCACCAAATCATTGATTCCCCCTTAATTTTATTTACTTTGTAAACACTCCCTACAATGTACACTCAGTTCTAATTTTCCAATTCAAGACTTATTGATATTTGATTTTTCAAGACCAGTGAGATTTATTTAGCTTAATTTATCTTTACTTTTTATTATTTATATGTTTTCTATTATCTTGATATTACTGCTTTGATTAATTGTACAAAAAGATCAGTTGTTCAATTTTCAATCCAATAAATTGTCATTTAGAATTCTTGAATTCGTAATTGTTTAAGTGTTCTAAACCTTAGTGGTAAAATAACATAGTTACGTTGATTATAAAAGAGATTTTCAGCCTTATGTTATTGACAGTAAAAACGTTACCGGAGATATAATATATGAATAATGAGAGTCAGATGAACAATAGTGTTATTGCCTTAGTCTCTGTATGGAAAGTACAATGTGTCTCTTAGTATAGAGTATTCAACGTGTCCACTCTGGCTGAGGAGATGTCCTACTTATATCAAGCTCCTAACGGTAACATCATAATGAGGCATAATGACGAGCTGAGCATTCATTCCTCTCTCTCTTCAGTGGTGGTGTAGTAAATGACCCTGTGGTAACGTTCCATCCATTAGCAACCTGCCCGTTGGAGTTCTGCCTGTTGGGTTTTCATGTGGTGCCGGGTCAGGTACCCGTTTGACAACCCGGGTCGGGTGCTGACACCATTACTCTGTCACCAGTCCCCCCTACTCCTGAGTCTACGGATGTGTTTAAGTTGACTTGGGAGTAAGGCTGAATCTATCTTGATACTGTGCAAAATCCTGATTGATCCCGAATATGCGATTTTATTTTCCAAATCACATACGATTTTTTTTTTCTTTTTGTATGTTGGCCGAGATTGACTGCGACTATGTTGGCCGAGACGGACAGCGGCCTAGGCTGGCCGAGGTGCATGCCTCCGGCCGATCACGGCCGAGGCGTCGCCTCGACCGACCGTGACCGAGGCGTGCACCTCGGCCGATCGCTCGGAGCCGAGGCGTCACCTCGATCGCTCGCGGCCGAGGCGTGCACCTCGACCGATCGTGGCCGAGGCGTGCGCCTCGACCGATCGTGGCCGAGGCGTGCACCTCGGCCGATCGCTCGTGGCCGAGGCGTGCGCCTCGACCGATCGTGGCCGAGGCGTGCGTCTCAGCCGATCGTGGTCGAGGCGACAATCGTGGCCGAGCCGTGCGCCTCAGCCGATCATTGCCGAGGCGTCGTCTCGACCGATCGTGGCCGAGGCGGGCTCCGGCCTTTTTTTTTTTTTTTTTTTTCGGCGTGGGCCGGCTTCGGGCTGGGGCGCCGCTACAGCCTGGCCGAGGCACCGCGCTTCGGCCACAGCCGAGGCGTGTGCCTTTGCCTGTGGCTGAGGTGACGCCTCAGCCAATTGACGGAGGCGTGTGCCTCGGCCTGTGGCTGAGGCGACGCCTCAACCAATTGGCCAAGGCGTACGCCTCGACCTTTTTTTTTTCTTTTTTTTTTTTTTTTTTTTTTTTTTTTTTTTTTTTTCTTTGTAGAGTGCTGGGACGGTCTTGGTTGATCGAGTGTGGTATTGAGAACCTTTTTATTTGAGCGAAGTAACCTGGGCGGACCATGATTACTAAATATTGATAATATCTAATTAAAAGTTCTGAGTTCCATACCCGATCGATCATCCTTGCAGATGGTGTGGACTTGTAGATTCTTTCCGCCAATCTTTTTGCATGCTTTTACGTAACAACTGCGGGCTGCTCGCTGGTCTCCTCTTACGACTCCTATCCCATTCGGAGTAGGGAATTTCATACACAAGTGTTCCACCGACACTATGGCCTTGAGGTCCTCTAGTGCCGACCTCCCCAAAATGATGTTGTGCGCACAAGTGAGTCTTACCACGATGAATTCCACGTCGAGTTTGTGAATGTTAGGGCTCGTGCCTATCTCCACTGGTAAGACTACTGACCCCTCCGTCTCAACTGAATCACCTGTAAATCCAGATAGTGGGGTACGTACCTCTTTGAGCTGGTTCCTAGGTATCCCTAACTTGGTGAAGGCATCGTAATACA